AGAGCACAGGGTCCTTGGTAAGTGCCTTGTTCCTGCTGGAGAGCCCAGTGTCCATCTCTGTGTGCTGACACCGAGCTCCTTTCAGACCTGGGACATGGACTTGGAGGTTGCTGCTGAAAACCATGCAGGGAATTGCAGCTGGAACCGGAACAGTGGCCCAACCAAGAAGAACCTCTTTGCTACCAATTCAACCCTGGATGTAAAATTGGCCATTGAGGAATGGAATGGGGAGAGGAAATTCTATAACTTTTCAACATCCCAGTGTGAGCCTGGGAAGATATGTGATGACTACATCCAGGTACCAGCTGCTGGGGTGGAGGGGCTGTTGGGACAGGAGCTGTACCAGTCCCCCAGCTCCTCCAAAATCTTTGCAAAAGGACAGGGAAGCAGGTGGGATTCACTGACAGAGGCAGACCTGGGCATGGTGTCAGCCATGAACAGCCTTTTGGAGAAGACCTTTTTTGAGACAAGCTCTGCAACCTTTTTATTTGGCTGCTAGGCAGAACTCAGTGCCAGCTCATCTTGGATAGAAGGATGAGGTCTGAATGTTTCTTCACAGCTTGGGTGGGAGCAAGGAGGAGAAATGGATGGATGGATGGATGGATGGATGGATGGATGGATGGATGGATGGATGGATGGATGATTCCAAGACCAAAGCAGAGGTGGTGATGCTCTGTCTGAGTAGACTATGTGGTAGGAAAGCTATGGCACTGGAATATATACCTTGGGAAGGTGGTTTAGACAGAGGAAAGAGGAGATTCTGAATGCCAAAGCAACATGGGGATGTGGGATACAGGGCACATGCTGGGAGATAAAAAAGATATTGGAGCAGCCTTTAGGGCCAGGGGAGAAACTGCTTTCCCCCAGTCCCCCCACGTTCAACAGTGGTCTTTGCCTTAGGTGATCTGGTCAATAACAAATCGTGTTGGCTGTGGGAGCAAATTTTGTAAGAAGGTGGAAGACATCAAAGCAGAGAATGTACAGCTGCTTGTTTGCACCTATCATCCCTGGTAAGTACCAGGCCCCAATGCCCGTGCCCTGCTCTGTTCTGAGGGGGTGAGGGATGTGCTCCATGGAGTTCTCTGCCCTGGCTTGAGCTGCCTTGGGGTCAGGCTGGG